TGATAAATTCATTCATTCGTGTTGTAGTTGCTAGAATATGTAACTTGATTAATAGACCTTGATGTACCACGTCCACGGTGCGACTTTGGAAATGATTATGCATACAATGGACTCAAGACAAGATGCGTTCCTCTAAGTCTTCCTACTGATTCTATTTTTTAGCACTTTTTCAACTAGGCTGGCCTTCGCGACCGCACGATTACCCTAATCCTCATCTGTTTATATCTCTTCACCTGACCTAATTTACATGTGATTTCTACATCTTGTTTACTCCTCACTTACCTGTTTCTTGCCTGCCTCTTTCGGTCCTTATTTCTGCAAGGTGACTGCTCTCTACACGTACATGGCTCGTGAATACGACGAATTGACCTTCAAACGCCATGATGTCCTTGTCGTGCTGCCCTGGCAAGATGGATTTGAAGAGGTCAGTGAGCTGAATTTTTTCCGACTTTGTAAATATCTAAAACAGAATCATGTTTTATTTCTTTCTCCTATCCCTTCAAATAGTGTCGACCGTCATCCCCCAGCAGGTGATGTTATCCCGTCCATAAGTTGGCGGAGAGTCTCACTTGGCTCAGGATAACTGGGTTCCATGAGGAAGGCTGGCAACCGAGGGGTGTCGGTTGCTGGCTAGTGCGAATAAATTGTGTCGAAGAGAGTGTCTTGTGGCCTGCTTTATGTGAAATGTAGAAAAGGATAGAGGCATAAGACAGGATGATTAAGGCCATTCGTAGGTGTGCTCACCAAAAAGGCATGGTCTTAGGTTTGGTGAAGTGTTGGTTCTACCTCGTTTTTGTAACTTGGCTGAATGGATTGGAGATCGTTGGGGTACGCACTCAGTTCTGCCTGCATTTCCAGCATCGGATCTTGGACTTGCGCTTATTTCGTCTGGAACACACTACCAGATGTTTTGACGACATTCTAGAATCTATCAAGTCAACGATCGGATGCTAGGAGTTATCATGGCTACTGTAGCAGACGACGTAGGATTGGGTACGTTTTACAAGTCACAAAAATAGGTTAAAACAGGGAGTTTTCTTGACTCGTAAGCTTGAATTCTGTTGTGACGATGATACCTTGCTCTAATGATGTTTGTCATATGACGGACCTTTTCACCGGAATCGAAGCAGATCAACCTCGGAAACAGCGTCGGCATGATTTTTCATTTCGAAGTAAAAATTTGTCGGCAGGAAGATTTTCGCAGAGTGAAGAATGTGGATGTTGAGAGTAATATATGCGAAGAAAAGTTGGCTTTCGAGGAACCTCTCGTTTCATAATTGTTGAGCTTA